AGTGTTTCGTTGCCACATTGTCCGTGTAAACCTTGAAGTGTCTCCCAAGGTAGTGTCGCCACTCCTTAAGCGCCTTGACCACCGCAAACAATTCCTTTTTATGGGCAGGCCACTTCCGTTGAGCCTTGTCCAACTTCTTTGAGAAGAATGCTACTGGATGGTTGTCTTGCTTCAAAACTACGCCCAATGCAAAGTCTAAAGCATCTGTTTTTACCTCAAAGTCCTTACAAAAGTCTGGTAACGCCAACACGGGAGATTTCCTCAACTTCCCCTTGAGGTGGACAAATGCCGCCTCGCATTTCACTGTTTATACCATCTTCCTTTTTCCCATTTGGGTAAGGCTACTCTCGAATAGTGTCTGATAAACTTTCGATAGTAGTTGCATAGCCCCAAGAATGCCCTTAACTCGTGTATATTTGATGGTCACTCTCAATCTTGGATTGCTTAGACCTTCTTAGGGTCCACCTTGAGCCCGTCCTTGCCCACCACATGCCTGAAAAACTTTACTTCTTGTTGAGTAAAGTCATATTTGCTCTCTTTAGCATACAGTTGGTGTTCCCTTAGTTTCTCAAACACGTTCGTCAAGTGTTTGACATGCTCCTTTAGCGTTTCGCTATAGATCAGGATGTTGTCAATATAGACGACCACAAAGTGATTCAAATAGGGTACAAAGATATGGTTCATCAACGCCAAAAACATTGCCAGCGCATTGCATAGGTCAATCCTCGAAAAGTATTTTGCCTTTCCCAACCTATCGAATAGGTCCTCAATCCTTGGCAAAGGGTATTTGTTCTTCTTTGTATACTTGTTGAGCAACCGGTAGTCTATGCATATGCACATAGATCCATCTTTCTTTTTCACAAATAGATCCATCTTTCTTTTTCACCACCTCAGCACCCTCGGCCAGTTCAATCTTATGTTCTATCGGTCGTGCGGGGGGCAACCCCGCCGGTAGCTCCTCCGGCATGGTATTTTGGAATTGGTCCAACACCCGTTAGATCACTAAAGGTACTTCTTCCGTTCCTACCTTTTTGTCACTCCTCCCCGAGAGTAAGCACAAAAATGCTGCCTTGGTCCCTTTAGTGAGTTGTCCTCTCGTGGACACCAGGTTTAGGCACGAATCTTTGGCCTTGCATTACCCTACCTTTAGATCCTGGGCCTCCACCTTGGATCTTCTTCCTTGGGCATTCGTTAGTACCAGAAGGTTCCTACCTTGTCCATGCAGGGCTACCACGAACCGATTGAATTAATCCATCCCGAAGATCACGTCAAATCCCACCATGTTCAACACGGTGAAATCCATGTCTACTTTCCAAGTCCCTACTTTGACTCTCGCTTGTCGAAGTACCTCATCCGTGTTTTGGCTACCTTGAACAAACTCTATAGTCCTTGGTTTGCAAAACCGCTGCACCGTTAGTCCGGCTTGCCGGACTATGTCTGCAGCCACAAAATTATCCGAAACACCCGTGTCAATAAGGATCTTAACAAAGCTACTTCCGAGCTTCTCTCGGAGGGCTAATAGATGTCGCAAACGACTCTCTACCAAAGTTGCTCGTGTAATGAGTAACTTTGAGCTAGGGACTAGATCATATACCTTAATTTGGATTTCACCCGACTTAATGGCCATATTGGCTCTGGCCTTCTTCGAGTAGGGACATTCCCTCGAAAAGTGTCCCACTTCACCGCAGTTGTAGCATATGTTGTTTCCCACGTTGCTAAATGACTTGACCTTTTTATCCGTGGGTTTATCTCTTTTTGCTTGACTCCTCCACGTACTTGCTCGCTAGCTACCGGATTTGCCTTTCCGGAACCCTGAGGACTTATTCTTAAAAAAACTCTTCTTGAATTTCCCTTTGCTATATATTCCCCTTGGTTTGGCCCCTTTGCTAAACGTGGACCCCGACCTCGTCGTGTTCCCCTTTCACAGGTTATCGTTGAAATACACCTTGATAACCGCATCCAATGCTTCTTTGTAATTAGTCGGGTTCCAACGCATCACCTCGCTGCGAGCCTAGGTTTGCAAGCCTGATATAAAGGCATGGAACGCATCCATATCCCCCATGTCCATGACAAGTATCTTTTTTGCCATAAACCCATTCACATACTCCTGAATGGTTCCTGTCTGCTTCAGCTTACTCAGCTCGTCTCTTAGATGCAGAGTAGCATTCGGAGGAACGTAAGTCGCATGGATCCTCGCCTTCATCATGTCCCAAGTGGCCACTGGTCCTTCGTTGGCCTCCATCATTCTCCACCAAGACTTGGCATTATCTGCCAAGTATAGTTTTGCATATGGGACCTTCTCCGAGCTTGGTAACCGCAACGCTCGGAAGTAGTCCTTCATATCATAAAACCAATCCTCCACCACCTTATAGTTGTTCACTCCCTTGAAGACCGGTGGGGGCTTTGGTTTGTACTTGGGAACTACCTGAGGAACTGATTCCACTTCAGTCTGTTTGACCTTGTTTAGTTCTGCCTCAGTCCCTACCGAAGGGTCCACACCTTCTGTGCTGCTAACATCCGTAGTCTTTCACTTTTTCTTCTGCTTCTTGTCATACTTTAGCCCGATATGGGTACCTCTACCCCCCCACTTCCATCCCGAAGGAAGGCCCAAGCCCCTAGGAAGGGCGAGGACCAATGAGCCGTATGGTACTCAAGTGGGGCACCACTCCACATGAGTCGGGAGCACTACAGTCGGTTTCCCTTTTGGGAGTGGGAGCTGCTCTTGAGCAGTTCCTGGAGTGGCCCCTCCGGCACCACCCAAGTCCCTGCTCACTCCCACCCAAGGCCCCTTAGCCCCAGTCTCAACCTCAAGTCAGTTTGGAAGCACCATTGGAGAGTTCCTTCAAGACTGGTTCCTGGACCTCACTATCCCTGCTATACTTTTGGAACCCCTGGCAACCCCCCCCCCCCCCCCCCCCCCCCCGCCCCCCCTGCTAGGAGACGCATGCTATGGGCTTTCACCCTTTGACCCGTATTAGTACTCGGACTCAGTCTTGGACTCGATCTCAGACCCGACTTCAGACTCGGTCTCGGACTTGATCTCAGACTTGATCTCGGACTCGATCTCGACTCGACCTCGGACTCGGTCTCAAACCCGATTTGGATCTCGGACTCTGTCTCGAACTCGGTTTCTGATTTGGCCTCGGACTCGATCCCGGACTCTATCTCGAACTCAGTCTCAGAGTCGGTCTTAGACTCGATCTTCGACTCGGTCCTAACCGATGAATTCTTTGTCATTTTGGTTATGTTTTCGGGGATCCTTTAACCTACGACACTTTGGAGAGTTGGTTCCTTACAAGGGGCTAATAAAGGGAACCAGCAGTACCGACCTCCTAGGTTTGAATAATATTGAGTTAAGTGACCTCTTAAAAAGTCCAAATTGAAGAGCTTATATTTTGTTTTAGAACAATCTTAAGTTCGAATTTGTTAGTTGGATAAAAGAATCACGTCATATGTTGCAATTGATATTTAGTAAGTCTAGTTTGTCTTTTGTTGGGCTCAACTTGAGGGGTAGGGTGTCAAGAGAGCAGAGCTCTCAGGAAAGCCACGGCTTTTAGCTTCCATTCACGAAGGTGTAAATTTGCAAAGAAGAATAATAGATTATAAAAAACTAAAAAGAATTACTTAAAAGATGATTCACAGGGTTCAAATATAAAGGGAAAGTGCCTATGAATAAGAGTATACCCTTTTTTTCAATTAATTAAGGGTTTTAAGATACTTAGGGTTAAATGTCTTTAGGTTGAATAGTATTGGGCTAGGAAATCTAAATTCAAAAGCTTACACACCCTTTAATTTTTCCTTTTCACTAGCACTATACTAGGGATTGACTAGGTTACAAATATATGGCAAGCAAGGGTGATGGAAATTTCTTACTTTTGGTTGTTTGTAAGTGCTTATTGATAAACTCTTTTAGCCCTTCTCGCCTTTTTGGCTTCTTATAGGTGCTCATTGATTAGCTCCTTTGGCAATAAGGCCAAAGGAGAATTGTGAGGCTTCTTTATTGAATTTCTTGGAGAATTGGTAGATTCTCAATGTGGATTGGAATGCTTTAGGGTATATACAATTGCTCTTAAAGGAAAAACAGATTGTTTTTAAACCATATATTTTAATGTAATAATGGATAAATTTTTAGTATGAAAAGAAGTTTTAGTAGGAAATTAAAATGGAAATATAATGAGAGATTAGTAATTTTCAAAAAGAAATTACTTACACATAAATAAGTTAATCACCTTTTATGTTTTAATGTAATAATGGATAAATTTTTAGTATGAAAACAAGTTTTGGCAGGAAATTAAGATGTAAATATAATGAGAGATTAGTAATTTTAAAAAAAAAACTTATAAATAAGTTAATCACCGTTTATGTATATTATTAGGTTATGAAAGTAACCTTATTATTAACTTAAAATTATATTTATATCATGCTAGAACGATATACCTTGTGCTAGTTCTATACTTAATCATGTACACAGTTTTAGAACAATAACATTTAAAAATCTATAAGAGATTTAGAGTATTTATATATTCAAATAACTATTCCAACTCAAGATCTTGGAGAAGACACTTGTAATACCAACCGAAACCTGATATTAATATCTCTCTATCTTTTGTGAGACTTCCAAGGACTTTCCAGGAGATTATCTAGCTAGTATTATTTAAATTTAAGAACACTTAACCCCAAATATCCTAAAAATTTTAATTAATTAAAAAATAGGGCATATGGGTCCTTTCTTTTTATATTTGAACTTTTGTAAATTATCTTTTAAATTGTTCTCTTTAGCTATTTACAATTTAATAATACATTCATCTGAATTAAAATTTCATGTATCCTTTCAAACTCAAGTTCATAAAAGTTAACAATTGGCCTTTCAACAGATGATATATAAAATGCTAGAGGGCTTTGTGTGTGGCATGGTAAAGATCATTTATGATCCACATGTCAAACTAGTGGCTTGACAAACATCTCAAATGTGTTGGACTGCCTTCATTCTGTGTGCAAAGAGCTCTAATACAAGGTCGTCTTCCCCATTGTCTACAAGCCTAAGCATGAGAGCGTTCCAGGACACCGAACACCTTCCAAGCACTACCGTATTTAATCGATGTGTTCTCCATGATAAATCATCAATCCCCAGATCTTCCTAACGCCTTGCAGATTGCAGCCAAAGTAGCGATGGAACTCAAGAATTTGGCAGCAGCCCACGAGTCTCCATGCGACCACTGCCGCTTCATCCCCTCCATTCTCTGGGCATTCTCTCCACAAACCTCAAAGCGATGATCTTAAAGATACCATTATTTAGTCATAGTTTGAAAGAGAGGAGAGCGTGTAGGTTTTCTGCGCTCGCATAGGAACACGAGTAAGGATTCAAGGACCATCGACGTCAAGGCCATGAGCACAGTGGTGGATTTCAAGCCTCCGTCGGCCTGGAGGCGGCCACAAGATGGAAGCAAATGCGGGTTCAAGCACAAGGCCATGGTGAGGTTCCTGGCACTCACGAGACGACGGCTTTGCGTGCTGGGTTTGCACAGCACCATGGATTGCACAGCTCCTCAAAGTGGGTCTTCAGGAGATCTGGAGGGCAGCAGCAACTGTGATTGCTGGTGCGGATGTGGGAGGAGGCAAGTGCTTGCATCAATCCTGGGAACATCGCTAGCAACGAGTGAGGCTGGACTACATGCAGGTGGCCTTGACGATGGCTATCTAGTAGTAACAGTTATCCTTTTCTTCGCAACTTTTCCTTGTTCTTCTTTCTTGCTCTTCTCTTACGCAGCAAACGCTGAGAGCAGTCCATCCGAAAAGACCTGACTGGTACGAGGAGTTCTACGCACAAAGCATAAAATGTGGAATGGTGGCTTACGAGGCTGAGGTGAACGACTTGCAAACTCTCGATGAAAATCTTTTCTTCCATGAAATCCTTCTAGGCGGCGAAGTACAAAGAGAAACTGTTCGAGAGCCTGAGACAAAGATCGGCTGCCACCACTGTTTTGGAGCTCGGTGTCGGCACGGGTCCAAATCTCAAGTATTACGCGAGATCAGGGAGCGGCATGAGTGTCATTGGGATCGATCCCAACGAAAAAATGGAGAAGTACGCTCGAGCTGCTGCAGCCGATGCCGGGCTATCGAATTCCCAGTTCAAGTTTATCCATGCCGTGAGTTGCGACAAAGTTCACAAGTTCATGAGTTTCTACTCTTTTTCTTTCCAGGTTGGAGAGCAAATACCCCTCGCCACTTCGACCGTAGATTCGGTCATCTCAACTCTGGTGCTGTGCTCGGTGAAGGATCTAAATTCAACTCTCCAAGGTTGAGTTTTTTCTCTCTCGATCTTCCGTTTAACACTCCTTGAATTAATGTAGAAGTGAAGCGAGTCCTCAAGCCCGGAGCTACGTTCTACTTCCTGGAGCACGTTGCGGCTCAAGGTACTGGCTACTGGAAACTCTCCTTGCGCTCCTGATCTCAGTCTCTCGCGTGAATCAATCCAGAAGGAAGCAGCGTGAGATTCTGGCAAAACGTTCTCGACCCCGTCCAACAGTTCGTCGCCGATGGCTGCCACCTCACCCGTGACACTCTCTCCGGCATCCAGTCCGCCAGCTTCGCGAGCGTCGCGGCGGACCGAATCAACATCAGCAGCGCCTTCCTGATCTCGCCGCATGTCATAGGGACCGCGCAATCTTCACGGTTGTAACAACAAAAATTTGATCCTCGGTGGAAAAATGGAATCACGACCATTCAAAGAGCTGCAGCTCAGAGCGGCGTGCCAGGAAAACAATTTCGAGGTAAAGTCTCCATCCACCTACTTACATCGTCCTTCGCATTTAAGCTCGCGGCCACCGCGAGTTTTAGAGAGAGCGAGCGAGCGAGTGAGAGATCATAGAGTGAGCGAGCGAGCGAGCGAGCGAGATTAAACTCGAGGAGGGAAAAGAGCGAGCGAGCACAAATGGCTAATGCTTTTGGATTCCTTCTCTCGTGCGTCGTGCTTCTATCAGCATCCTTGTTTGTTTGCACAGAGGCGCGCTCCAGAGTTTTGTGCGCGCGCTCGCATCCTTGCTGCGGGATCTTTTCACCTGCCGGTTGCTTTGGGCCGCGAAGAGCTCTCGACTGCGAATGCCCGGGTCCGATCGTTCGCCCACATCCTCCTCGTCCAGCCTCGGGCCCGGGCGCTGCTCACGGCCCAAAGCCACCACCAAAATTCCCTCCATTCCCGTTCCCATGGTTTCCTCCATTTCCATTTCCCTTCAGGTTCCCACCATTTCCAAGACATGCTCCACCACCACTGCCTAATGTTCGTCCTCCACGTAACTAAATTACTACCACCATAGTCGCCACCTTTTAGTTCCACGTAACTATAGATCCGCCACCTAGAAGTTTTCACACAAAAATTAATAAAAGGGGATGTTTTTTCCATTGCCGGGATTTGAACCCGGGTCGCCTGGGTGAAAGCCAGGTATCCTGACCGGACTAGACGACAATGGAATTGCAAGAAGCCTCTTCTGGCCAGTGCTTTTCATATCCATGGACAATGTGTAAATTTTCCCTTGACTAGCTTGTTACTCGTTACATGAGAAAGTGTAACATATCTACAGTTGGGGACGCTTTTGCTTTTGCTCAGGAATCTGGAGGTTGTGAGATCTTGAGTTTGGTGGTGTGTCTCCTTCTCATCCACAAAGGGAGCAACTTGAAGAACCCTAACGCGTTTCTTACAGCTTCGTATTAGGGTGGCGGTTGATTGATTGATTGATTGATTGATTGATTGATCCTCACTTCTACAAAATATACTTTGTAAGGTGTACTCTCGACCTATACTGCCTCTAGGTACACTGCAAAAGCTGCAATTTGCAAGACAAAAAAAAAAAAAGGAATACTAATGATCTCAAATGACAAAAACGGTCTTTCTTTCCTTATTTTTTTCCTTTTTGGCTTGCCAAAAAAATTTCGATCGCATCTCTCGCTTGAGAGAGTGTTGTAATGTTGTATTGATTGATTGACGATCTTATCCTCCCACAAAGACCTCTATGTACACCAAGGGAATAAAAAAATGATAAAAAAGGAGATTTCTTCACATTTTTCCAGCCTCTCACACTGGGCCATTCCAACGATCCAAGCGAATCAAACCTTTGCTTCAAACGAACGAAGGTGCGATCGGTCGAGTTGTGCTGTGCGATCGCGGAAAAAAAATCCAAAGAGAAAAGTATAAACCTCGCGCGCGCGTCTATGTATCACCTCATCAAGATCAATCCACTGTCCTGCGCCGAATCCTTCTTCTTGCAGGACGCCATCTCCGGCTGCTGCTGCTGCTGCTGCTGGCAGCGGCGCTGCTCCTGCCTGAAATTCGCCTGGCAGATCTTGGCCAGCGACTGCAAGTTGCACCGCACCACCGTGTCGGTGAAAACGCGAGTATCCTCCCTGGTGTTCCCCTCTGGAACATCCACCACATAGGATTCCATCACCACCGTCACCACCTTCCTGGTGGGAGCCAAAGTTGCCGGAGCTGTTCTTCCGTGATCCCCGGAAGAACACCTCAAACCTGCGCTGCCGCCACCGGTGGCGATGGGCATGGAAATGGATCCAGCGCCACCATCGCTCACCTCAAACTCGTGCAAGCTTGTGACGGAGGCGTAGTTCCGGAGGCGGTGCTCGCCACCCACGACGCGGAAGCTGACGATGTGGTGCTCGTCGTCCAGGATCTCCAGCCTCTCGGTACTGCAGCTAGCGGGGAGGCCCGAGATGAGCGTGATGTTGCGGAGGCTGCCCACGCTGCTGCCATCGCCGCTGGCGATGACGCACGCCTTGACGAAGCGCTTGTAGGCCTGGGGCGTGTCGAAGCGGCGGAGCATCGGCCACACAGCGCTGACGGGCGCATCGATCCGCTGGAGCAAGAGATTGGCGCACTGGTGGGGCTGCGCGGCCGAGAGCGCGCTGTGGAGGCGCCACCGCGATTCGTCCAGCTGCAATCGCTGCTGGGGCGTGAGCATATCGTCCAGCTCTTTGCCGGTGGTGATTGTGGCGGCAGTGGTGGTGTTGTCCGATCCTCCGCCTCCGGCTCTCTCGGCTTTGCTGGGCTTGGAGTGATCGTCCAGAGATACCACGTCCTCGAGACGGATGATCCGCTGCTCCACCACCATCCCAGCGCGGGTCTGGTAATCGGACAAGAACCCACGAGCGATTAGCGATGGGGGAGCAAAACCCACTACTCACAATCACACACCCGCGCGGACCTTCTTCTCTTTTTCCTTGTTCTCCTTTTATCTCACACACACTCCCTCTCTCTCCGCTTTCTCGCGCGGATATGCATTGCTCGAACCGACCAAGAAGGAAAAAGAGAAGGATAAAAAAAAGCAAGGAAGAGCATGGTTGACTTGCGCGGAGTTTCTAAAGCCAGAAGCTCGAGTGGGAGCTTAGATCTCGGAGGCGGCTCTCCTTGAGTCAGAGGCAGCACCAGCGTCGTCAAGGAGGAAGAATCCAATCACTCTGGAAAATCCCAGGCAAGGAAAGTTCTTCCTTCGATCCTCGCTCTAAGATAAGAAGTGGAGATTGGTGTTCTTTACCTTGTTGGGGGAGATTTCTCCCAATGAATCGATCATCATCAGGGCCACCATTGCGTTTGTCGTTGCGAGAAATCGCTCGCGCTAGCTCGGATCGCCCACACCCTCCAGCTCGGATAGAATCCAATCCAAGAAACAAAACCAGCCCAGCTTTCTTGATCTTCTTTGCGTGAGTGGGTTGTCAAGGAAGGTAGTCCTTTTTGATAGCTACCGCGAGCTCTGAGGGAACTCACACACACAGAGGAAATTTAAGGAGCTTTCCTCTCTCTCTCTCTCTCTCTCTCTCTCTCCCTCTCTCTCGTGGAGAGAGAGAGAGAGTCTTTTGGTGTGAAGTGAGGGGCCCAAATGCGGTCACAAAATCGCACGCGTACGGCGGGCTCCAGGATCTAACTGCAGGGCCGTCGGGAATATTCACCGCGGGCCGCGAATATTCCGATTTGATCGATCGCTGTCCAACTTGCGCTCGCCCCCACTTGGCAATTTGGGAGAGAGCGAAGTTTGTGGATGATCAAGTCGCGGGAATGGATCCATCCTGTGGGCTTCGCGTCGTAAAAGTAAAAGAGAGGAATTGGACTGGAGGATTGGCTGGCGGTCGCAGTAACGAGTTGTCGTTTGTCACCGAGGAGGATGCCCAAGTAGCCAAATTGCAGGGTGGCGGGGGGACCTTTTATAATTAAGCTCCAGCAAAGAATCCATCAATCCTCCCCACCACAGGCACCACATTTTGATAAAGAAGTAATATGTTTTCGTGACGGAGACGACGACTGCGACGAAGACGAACGGGAAAATATCAGCTTTTCAATGCCCAAATCTTCCACGTGAAAACTGCATTGGCAGCTCCAACTTGCCAAGTTGCCCCGCACACAAAACCCCAAGAAAAACTTCATACGTTTTCACTAGCTTGATCGGTCACACTGTTCCAACTAAGTACCATCTTTCTTCTTCTCGTCACGCCCCCACCCAAATCCCTGGATCTGGAATCAAATCAGGCAAATAGAACTGGTTTTGTGGTCTAGTGTTGGGCCTGCAGTGACGGTGCATTGCATCTCATCGCTTGCACCACCACAATCAAGTGGATAGCATTGTCAAACATAAATAAAGCTTGGAGTCGAGATCAATTTGCCTTGCATCCATCAGTTTCATGTTTGCACTGTTGCATCCACCAGTCTCATGTGTCACAATAGCCATTCAGAGAAGAGCATACATGTATACATAGCATAAGAGCCTAAGACCCAATTTACAATGAAAAGCCGCAGGCAACAAGTGGGAAGAATAGTTCATTGCCCCCGAGTTTACAATTCGCTTGCCACACAAAATAATCAAGGGAGCCCGCATCCGCCCTCCAAGAATATTTCTCCAATCCTTACCAATTCAATGAACACTAAGCATTGTATCAGAGCAAAAGCGAAAAAGGCCCCATTCTAGAAACAATCCCCAGCAAGTTGGGCCATTGTTTAGTCACTAAACAGCTCTAGCAAAATGATCCCCATGACCAACCAATGGCTGCTTTTCACTGTAATATATATACTCCAAGTTGGGCCATTGTTTACTCACTAAACAGCTCTAGCAAAATGATCCCCATGGACCAGCATCCTTGCAACCAATGGCTGCTTTTCACTGTAATATATATACTCCAAGTTGGGCCATTGTTTACTCACTACACAGCTCTAGCAAAATGATCCCCATGACCAGCATCCTTCCAACCAATGGCTGCTTTTCACTGTAATATATATACACCAAGTGGGGGCAGAGCACCAGGTGAAATGCATCCCCAACAACTGGTCCCAAACTCTTTCAAATTGCACAAGAATCATTCCTGGAGTTGTCAAAAAAGAGGTAAAAAAATTTAAATCTGTGATGTCAGCGCCACGCCAGCTCCGTACCAGCTGGCCCCTCGCCGGATACCGTACATATAAGCTCTATGTTGTGTAGATTCGTTTAGAAGTATCGAGACGATAATCACGGTGATAATATCCCTATCCTCTGTGTATGAATGAATATAATGTGTGTGTCTGCTGTGTACAAGTGGGGCTTTTTTTAAGCGAAGTAAGTGGCTGTGCCTGAATTTAATAGCAGCTGCCAGGCAAACGAGATGAGGAAGAATCAAAGCAACAAAAGAAAAGTAAAACACACTACCTCGAGCTGCTCTTCCGTGAACTGTTCCTTCTGAATCTCCCAAGTATCCGAGTGCGTACGACGGAACTCGCCAATCGCCTTGGTTACGGTCGCTCGTATCGGCCACGGGTAATGGCTGAAGTATGTTATTGTCGTCACCATCTCGGGCAGCCAGCTGATACGGTAAAGATCACAACGGGTCAGAGTTTCTTGTGACGAGTACCTGGGTATATCGTAAGGAACGGAGAGAATGCATGCTGTGAGAGCAAGCACTGCGCCGTGCACCACGGGAACTGCAAGCCCATCCGGAAGCCTGTGCGAGCTGGGAAGCAAGGCACACGAGCAAGTGAGAGGTCTTGAAATCAATCACCCGCTACAAACAAGGAACAAGTTGGACACACTGGGTGGCTTACTTTGGCTTCCCGGATTTTAAGATTGAGCGTGTTGTCGCCAGTGCCTGCTCGCGAAAGCTTTGCACCACGCTGCTCTCTGCGCCTCTCATCATGCCCGCTGCAGCCGTCGACGACATCTCTCTCACCTGATCGATAAAGGACAACAAACATGTAAGTCTTCCTCTCTTTTTTTTTAAAGAGAAAAATGGATGAAAACTCCTACCTCCAGCTGAGGGTCACATAGAGATTCGGTCACTTTGTTCCAAAGCAACTGCCAAAGGCTATGATTCAATAAGAATGAATGTCTGTACACAAATAAGACGACATTAGATAGTAGTACCATGCTCATACAAAAACAACAGACCTGTACATAAATGGCTGAAGGAACGAAATGGAGGCAACTCGAACGCGCCAGTTATCCTCACTCGCAGCTTTGAGTAATCGCGACGCAAGTTCGGCAAGGTGCGAGGTGGGAAAGAGCTGCCACTTCAGGTAACGCAGAGCCGACCGTGCTAAGTGTGTCAGGTCTTTTTCCGAGGTATCCTGATAAAACACACTCTTTTCTTAGTCTCAAAGCAAGAAAGCTATATACCGAACCTGGAGCAAAAGAAGTGGATGTACAAGTTCAACTACAAGGTCTGACAAAATGTTGAACCGTCCTGAGTACATACAAGCTAACAGAAAATAAAATACCTGCACGACCAGAGGTGTAAAGAAGCTAGCCGAAAGATCAATATCACTTACCGTCTCCATGTCCTTGACAGCCTTTTTGTCACGTTTCGAAACATCACCTTCAACGTTCTCGTGCACATTCAGGATCTTCCTTGCTTCTGGTTCGGTCCGCTGAATGAACCTCCCGAGAGATGTGCTGCCATCGAGTGGAACTTCGTGACCACACTCTCGTAGGCCAGCACTTAAAACACAAGCAAGCGTCCCGATCGCCTTCCGGACCTGTGCATTTAAACCAACGATCACAAAGCTCACAGTGAGAAACTGAATCAACCAAGGCTTCACCTGAGCAGTTGAGTGACCAGTGTACTCCAATATCTCGTCGAGAAGCATGACCTGGAAGCTGACTTCGTCGCTAAGCATGTCTTTGCTCTGGACTTCCAATAGTGCCGCGGTGAGAAAATTAAACCGCTTAGCGGCGAGACTCGAAGAAGCATGCGATCCCAGTAACTTGCCAAGGCACTCCAGCACTTTAAAACGCAGCGCCGACCCTTGGCTCCCACTCGTCGCGTATCGAATGCATGCCACCCATTCAGGAGCGCATTCCAGTGTGGTTTTCTTGAGGGCCTTACGCAACAAAGCTGATAGCCAGTCATCCCATGCCGCCTCAACGCAGGCAGCCTCCGACCGTATCACACCCCCGATTATCTCAGCCGCAGCACACTGCTTCCCACGTTCATCCACGGTCGAGACAGCGTCTTCCAGCGGCCGTCGTAAGATGTCCAAGACAATCTGGCCATATTTCCGAGTGAGCTCTTCAAACAGCTTAGCGGAAGCTTTCGAGAATGCAACTCCCAGTGACTTCGACTCCCAACTCCTCGTTAAAGGCCAGTCGCACATGTACGTCGGTAGCAAGTAAACCAGGCCGACGTCGGACATGCTTTGCGGAACGTGGATGCCATCGTCTTCAGTGTAATGGTGGTCAAGTGCCAGCAGCTCGACAACACGTTCGCCAAAGCTCTCACTTAGCAATTGCTGCCCAATGGTGATTGATCCATTTAGTTCATGCCCCTGCATCTTGTCGGATTCAGCACCTAACAGTAGTAGCACGGCTCTCACTGACAGCCTTCGCACTGTCGGCAAATCACTAGTAAGTTTTCCGAGGAAATGTTCTGTCAGGAAAAACATCGAGACCATGAATGTGAAGCTTACAAAAACATCGACTTACCGTATCCATTTCTGACTAAATTCAAATTTTTCTTTCCAGATTCAAAGAACGGGGCCAGTGTTAGAAACAACAGCAATCCTTGAGCCATGAGATTATACCTGCCATTTAAAAGAACCAAGTCAAAACCTTACAAGAAACAGTGCAGTTTTACCGCCAATGGACGGATGATGAAGCACCGGTAGCGAAGCTTTTGATATCCATTATTGTGTCCTCAATATTTGGTGTTACTTGGACAGGAGACCCACCAAAATACCAATTGAAGGCAATGAAAAGCTTTACGATCGAGTTATATCAGATGATTTGCCATGGCTGATAAAGAAATATACCTTGTTAATAGCGTTCTGCGCTTTTGTGGAATCATGATGAGCGCTAGAAAATGAAGTTTAAGAAAGTGATAAATAAAGAAAAGCAGTTGGTCATACCTCTTGAGAAATGAAGCTAAAAACGCAGGCAGACATGACCAATCCTATAAAACAAAACATTAACACAAAGGCAAATAACTATGCTTGTTAGGCGCACCTCCATCATAGACCGTATAACTGTTCTCGTTTTTAGTATTGCACAGGCACCTAGTGTCGATTCTTCAGTGGCGTTGGGATTATTAAGGTGCGTAACGAGCAGTGGTAGTATTGTTTGTGGCAAGAAAAAAAATCGGTGCATCAGAAGTCCAAGGACAGCGGCTGCATACCTGCGAAAGGAAGAGTTTCAGCGTCCCCAAAGAAACATATAATGATAACTTACGATCTTATTGCCTTGTAACGATGTAAGCTAATGCTTACCAGATCGTTACTAAGTGATTCAAGAGCTGGAGGCAAGGAATTTGTCGGACTCATGTAATAATCATAGTATTCTGTCTCTGCGCTCCGCCAAACATGTTGAATATATGCACGCTGGTGTACTAACCACAACGGTCTGCGATGGAAAAGAACAAAAGAAAAGAAAACATGGGGCTGACGTTTGATGAAAAAAGACACGGATTAACCTTCTCAAACATTTCGTATCGTTGCTTGTTAAGAAATTCGCAGCAGGCTCGGTTAAATTCAGTCGTTCGGCATCCCAATCATTTCGGGCCTGATGCCAGTAGCCGTTTTCAACGCCTCCTGAATAGTTGACCCTTTAGTCCAGAACAATAACAACTCTATCTCACCGGAATTGACTATAGCGTTCATGACAGAGATTAGAGGCTTAAGTATCGCGGATTCGTCCCCCTTGTTTGCTAGAAGGTAGCTGTTTGGAAAAAAGAGAAAATCAGCGCTTTCAGTTAAGATGGAAAACAAAGAAGACAAATACCCGCATGCTTTGTGAAGGATCATTGCAATGTCACTTCTCAAACTGGAGTCTCCAATTGGCACCCCAGACAATCCAACGACGGTATAGCTGTGCTCAACCTTCTGAAAGTCAGGAAGTGAAGATCCCAAACCTTGGAGTACAGCGTCCACACGTAGAAGTGTCACACGGAGGTAGTCCTTCTCCTGTCCTGTATAAAGGATATCTTCACTGTAAAACAGCCTCAACGTTTCTGGTTTGAGTCTGTAGTGAGGTCACCTGTATTTTTCTGGAGACCTTTTTCAGGAAAGCGCTGAAGATTAGAGAGCGCCCCATGCATGTGGAAGTCAACCAGCTCCTCCACGAACATAATTTCATCGGCGGAAGGAATGTGCCAAGATGGCCTAGCACTGTCAAACTCGTTCTTGTCTTTTGTACCAATCCAGATATCTAGTTCATCAGATGCTGGCAACCTGGAAACGCATATTCTTAAAGCTCTTCAGCAATTAAATAAATTGAAACCTTACTTCCAAGAGCTGACAGGAAAATAGCACACTAGCCTTCGAATGAGAAACTTCAGCAACAGTTTTCCAGCATCATTAACCTTCATTGCAAACGCTTGTGAAGTCTCCCAGAGAGAGAAGAGAGAGAGAGAGAGAAACAAAAAAAAAGCTCGCTTATTGCATACCTTGCAGGATGGAGCATTGAATGCTACTTGAATGAGGTCCTTGAGGATCGTCTTGTAATTCAGAATTGTTGCATCTCCGGCTGCAATTGTAGATGCCAGGACGTTAAGCTGGTACGTTGCTCTTTGCTCTAGAGCCGATGAGAGAGTCGCCTGAAGCAATGTCGCTCTTAAGGAATCTCTTTTTCTAAAAATCCAGGCATACCTTAGAGCTAAAGTCAGACGTTTCTCCGTTTTTGCAATATCCTGTAGACGGTGTTTCACCCAACGTGGATAGCAAATCCTTCATGATAGGCTCTAATAACATGCTGATGGCCGTAGAAGAATCACGTTCAACAGCAGCAAAACACAAAGTTGCCATTTCATCCGCAGCTCCAGGTAAGATATTGCCAGTTAAGAACTTTTTTATACGCACGAGAACCTTAATAAAACTAGTGTCAGCAATAAACCATACTCAAGATGTAGCAAAAACAAACCAGTTTGAAGATACGTTCGGGCAGCTTGCCAAACAAAAGAGCCAATAGCGGATAGAAATAGGACCCACTCTCCACGAGAAAGCCGTCATTGGTATTGGTTTCTGTGGACAAACTATGCAGACATTCAATATTTAGATACATAGAATTCGCTTTATAAAAAGAAAGCTTCCATGCAGGACTGTATACTTACGAAGATTGAGACCCTGGTTCCAGACTCAGAAGCAGAGAAAATAGCTGGTCCAGGAACTGAAATGTCCACTTTTCCCAGTCGATAGGAAAAATACCGTTGTGATCAGGATCTTGAAGGTTGCTCACGCTCGATAACACGGAGCAATACAGCTGCATGGTGGCAAGAGTTTTAAGAGGATCGTTTGCATCCAATCCAGGTATAGTTTTGAACATAGAACCGAGAAGCGCATCTCTATAGCGCACAGCAGGCCCAGCAGTTAACTGGTTCTCCTTGTTAGAGGCCGTCTCTCTTTGATAAAAGAGTAGAATGGGCCTGGTACACAAGGCAAGAGTTTTAATCGCTAATTCAAGCTGATGAGTTGCCGTTATCTGCAAAGAACTTTCAGTGAAGAAAGAATAGAATTTGTCACGTACCGACACCATGGCAGTTTCGAAAGAAGAAACCGCAACGTTCAGCGCCAATGCTGGTTCAATATAAGCCAAGTTTGACACTGCTTTAGCGCAAGCGTGAGAAAGCCTGTCACTTTTACTGTATTGGCCTCTCTCTACCAGCCTTAAAACTTCCTTCACAAAAGACGCTCGTTCAACTGCCCCCAAGACTTGTCTCGTCTTCTTCTGCGTGTTACACTCTCTCTCCATACGCTTCGAGAAGCAACGTACGAGGAAAGTCATGAAATGTTCGAGGGAGTCAGACCAGTGGCCACCATTTGACGGGTGGTAATATGGCTCAAGATAATCAACCAGCTTCCTGAAAGAAGACTCCGCTGAGCCTCCGGGAGTCAGCAGATAAATCTGCAAAGGACGGGCAACATAAATTCAGCAAGTAGTTGTCAAAAAAGACCGAAGTTCTTACGATTGATTTGGCCGCGGTCTTTGATAACGACACGTTTATTCCGGGAGGAAAACTATGGATGGACCAGTTAATTGGGGGATGTGCACTAGACCGTCCAACAGGTACCTGAAACCTTTGGCTATTAGAAAACGAACAAAAGAACTTGCAACTCAATTAAGATGATCTAACCCGGAAAGAGTTCAGTAGATGAGAGAATATAACTGGCATAAAAGGTTCCCAGTTCATATCCAACGACGTGATACACCGGCCAATCAAGGATCCCCATTGTGAGCTCCAAAACTGACAGCTAGGAATACGTTGCCAGAGGTCGAGGCACTCGGCCACCCAGTCACTGGTAGTTAGTCGGAAAATTTTTAGCGCGAAAAGTATCAACCGGGACGACTTACACTGTGAAAACGTAAGGCTCCGACAAAGAATGCTGTGATTTCAGTGGAATAAAAAGCCCCAGAAAGCCTAGAGCCTCCAAGCACGATGTGCGACAAGGATGATCGAAGCAAGGCCTTCAAAGACAAGAAAAGCCATCAACAGGAGGAAAAGATACTGCGAGAGCAATTTGCGTCGCCCCACCTAAACTCGTTCCAGATTTCCGTGGCAGAACCCGCAGAGAAGTAGTATCGGCAGCACTTGAGAAGCACGACAAAGTTGGTTGCATGCTCCGAGTTAGTCCCGAGTCCGCTGTAAAACTCCTGCCTGCCAGCCAGTAGTAAAGTCGCAGGCTTACAACAAAAGGCAAAAAGCTTACCTCTTGAAATGCGTGTTTACGAATATTTTGTAGAAAGGCCGCCAGTCCAGCGATAAGCTCAGCTTCTTGCGGTACTTTCTAAAGATCCTTGTCAAGCAGATCGCCCACCTTGTCTGTCCGAAAAAACGAACAATAAACCATAAATGAACGAGAAAAGAGAAGCAAAGACGAAGAGCTACCTGAGCTTGGAGATTGATGGTGCCCTCGAGCAAAACCTCCAGTCCGATATTCGCTACAAGCTGCACGTCTTCCACGGCCACAGTGCTCAGTGCTTTCAAGAACCTGTAGAAAGAATCCACCTCGTAAGGGAAGAAGAAAAATAAAAACGAAAGAGAGAAGCTTACGATTGTATGAGATAGATAAACCTGGTAGTCCTGACAGCCGAGGCCGAATTACCAGGTTCCCATTCTTCCTTGAGCTTTAGCGCCAGCTGATGGAATCGTCCCTCCTCTTCTCCAATCCTCTCGGCAACGATCGCAGGGAGCCAGCGATTGTAGAGACTGGTCTTCGGCGGCGCCGCAGCATCATCGGGGCACTCCTTGGCCATGGCCTCATCAGCAGCAGGAGGGGGAGGAGGAAGAGGAGTGGGATCTTCCATATTACGATGAGAATGCGCGCAATCTCGTCCTCGACTGCTCGGAATCTCTAGCTCGTTACCTCGAAGGATCGAATTCCCGGCGGCCCGATCCCACTCAATGCGCCGTGGCGGAGAGATCTAGCTCTGGGCACCGCATCGCATCGAGCGAGGGTTTCCTCGCGCCAGGGATGGAAGAAGGGTGCCGTCACAAACGGGGAAGAGAAAAGAGAGAGACTTTAGTTTAGAAAAGGGACCACAGCACTAATAAAGATACCCAGTACGATCTTCTAACTTACTCCGTCGTGTAAAACGTACCGCCCGCCATACCGCGCGTCACGCTCCTTTTCTTTTGGGATGGTCCACGAAAGGATAAAGGGAGCCTCTTGTCATCGTCCGATGGTTATTGAAGATCTTTTGCCTTTGCTGCATAGTCTCTCTACTGGAAGGGGAGCTTATTGTTGGGTGCTTCGATCCCAAGCACCAAAGGGACATTTGCTTATTTGGTCTCATTAATGAGTGAGAAGAAGATGCTTGGTTTGGGAGTTGTTCACAAGGTCATATACTCCATTAGGTTAGCTAGCTACACTTTAATTCCAACTAGATGGGATTAAGGGCAACTATCAGCCTCAGAATGATGTCATAACTGCAAATTTATATCTTTTAACTCAGATTGATGATTTAATGGAAGCATTTTGTTAATGTGATAAAGGATTGCTTTTTAAACTCTAACAACTTTATACAATTTCACAGTGATGCTATTTGTATGCCATTTGAATATATAATGGATCGATTGGAAAGCTTTAAAAAGTCCACACTTATAGCAAGATCATTTATGACATGTGAAACAAGTGCTTCCATGGCATAAGAAACATTTTATTAAATTTAAACTTCCAAAACACAACTTTGGAAAATAGTAATCTCTCAAAATAGCTAGATCCTATTAATAAATCTCCTAGTGTTTAGGGTTTAGGGTTTGGGGTTGCATCAATTCTTAAAGAAGGCAATGCATTTTGGTTTGGCTGTGGCACCATGGAATACCATTACAAAGCAAGTGAAAAAGGAGGGTCATATCATTTCTACTGGTAAGGTATTCACAAGTGATAAGGATGTGTAATGATATTTATGGTACTACTCAATCTTTTTTTTTTGTGACTGCAAGATCTCTTCCATGCAACTTGGCTCTCCTCCATTTTCTCCTTCTTTTTGTCAACACCACATTCATGACCTTAGAGATTTGATATAATTCATGGCACTAGCCATTCTAGCCTTGGCCATTGTATTTAGTGTGGTGGCTATAGTTATATTTAAAACATTTTTAAACATGTATTAGCCAAAATTTGAAAAGAGCCTTTCAAAGTTTTCCAAATTGCAAAATAATTTGAAATGTTAAAGGGTATTTATAGAGCTCTTGACTATCTGAACTTTTTTTTTAATTTGATCTTTTATATTAATACTTCTAATGTAGGTCTTACACTTGAAGTACTGGTAATTATTTTATCAGCATTGCAAAGAAAGACTACTTAACCATAGATAAAGAATATTTGGCTATTGTATGGTACATATTTTTATAGAATACTTTAGTTGAGAT